TGTCGCACTACAGGTGACCCCACCATACTACACTCCCACTCTTACACTCTCTCTCACACTCTCTCTCTCACTCGCGCTCTCTCTCTCACTCGCTCTCTCTCTCACACTCTCTCTCTCACAACAATACTGCGCAGTACAGGCCCTTTGGCCCACGATGTTGTGCCGACCTATTATCCTACTCTAAGATCAAACTAACCTGCATACCCTACATTTTACTGTCATCTATGTGCCTATCCAAGAGTCGTTTAAATGTCCCTAATGTATCTGACTCTACTTCCACTGCCAGCAGCGCATTCCACACGCCCACCACTCTGTGTGAAGAATCTACCTCTGACATCTCCCCTATACCTTCCTCCAATCACCTTAAAATTATGCCCCCTCGTAATAGTCATTTCCGCCCTGGGAAAAAGTCTCTGGGCATCCACTCTATCTATGTATCCCATCATCTTGTACACCTCTATCAAGTTGCCTCTCATCCTTCTTTGCACCAATGAACAAAGCCCTAGCTCCCTCAACCTTTCCTCATAAGACCTGCCCTCCAGTCCAGGCAGCATCCTGGTAAATCTCCTCTGCACCCTCTCTAAAGCTTCCACATCTTTCCTATAATGAGGCGACCAGAACTGAACACAATATTCCAAGTGGGGTCTAACCAGGGTTTTATGGAGGTGCAGCATAACTTCGCAGCTCTTAAACTCAATTCCCCTGCCAATGAAAGCCAACACACCGTACGCCTTCTTTACAACCCTATCAACTAGGGTGGAAACTTTGAGGAATCTATGGATGAGGACACCAAGATCCCTCTGTTCCTCCACAGTGCCAAGAATCCTGCCATTAATCCTGTCTTCTGCATTCAAACTCGACCTTCCAAAATGAATCACTTCACACTTTTCTGGGTTGAATTCCATCTGCCACTTCTTTGCCCAGCTCTGCATCCTGTCAATGTCCCATTGCAACCTACAACAGCCCTCTATGCTGTCCACAACTCCACCAACCTTCATATCATCAGCAAACTTACTAACCCACCCTTCCACTTCTTCATCCAAGTCATTTATAAAGATCACAAAGAGCAGAGATCCCAGAACAGATCCCTGCGGAACACCACTGGTCACCAAGCTCCAGGCTGAACACTTTCCATCAATCACTCTCTGACCTCTATTGGATAGCCAATTCTATATCCAGACAGCCAGGTTTCCCTGAATCCCATGCCTCCTTACTTTCTGAATGAGCCTACCATGGGGAACCTTATCAAACACCTCCCTAAAATCCATATACACCACATCCACTGCTCTACCTTTATCAATGTATTTTGTCACATCCTCAAAGAATTCAATAAGGCTTGTGAGGCATGACCTGCTCCTCACAAAGCCATGTTGACTATCTCTAATCAAACTGCTTTTCCAAATAATCATAAATACCATCTCTCAGAATCCTCTCCAGTAATTTGCCCACCACAGAAGTAACACTGACTGGTCTGTAATTCCCAGGATTATCCCTATTCCCTTTCTTGAACAAGGGGATAACATTTTCCACCATCCAGTCATCTGGTGCTACTCCAGTGGAGAGTGAGGACGCAAAGATCATCGCCAAAGGTGCAGGAATCTCTTCCCTTGCTTCCCGTAGTAACATTGGGTATATCCCGTCTGGCCTAGGGGACTTATCTATCCTCATGTTTTTCAAAATTTCTAGCACATCCTCCTTCCTAACATTGACTTGTTCAAGCATATCAGCCTATTTCATCCTGTCCTCACAAACGTCAAGGTCCCTCTCACTGGTGAATACTGAAGCAAAGTATTCATTAAGGACCTCCCCTACTTCCTCTGACTCCGCACACAGTTTCTCTCCACTATCCCTGATTGGCCTTACTCTCACTCTGCCATCCTCTTCTTACTCACATTAATATAGAAAGCCTTGGGGTTTTCCTTGATCCTACCTGTCAAGGTTTTCTCATACTCCCTTCTAGCTCTCCTAAGTCCATTCTTCAGTTCCTTCCTGGCTACCTTGTAGACCTCTAGAGCCCTGTCCGATCCTTGCTTCCTCAACCTTAAGTAAGCTTCCTTCTTCCTCTTGACTAGGTGTTCCACATGTCTTGTCATCCAAGGTTCCTTCACCTTACCATCCTTTCCTTGCCCGAGTGGGACAAACCTATCCAGTATCTGTAGCAACTGCTCCCTAAACAATCTCCATATTTCTGTTGTACATTTCCCTGAGAACATCTGATCACAATGTATGCTCCGTAGTTCTTGCCTTGTAATTCCCCCTCCCCCCAATTAAATACTTTCCCATACTGCCTGCTCCTATCCTGCCCCATGACTATAGTGAAGGCCAGGGAGTTGTGATCACTATCACCGAAATGTTCTCCCACTGAGAGATCTGACACCTGGCCTGGTTCGTTGCCAAGCACCAAATCCAATATGGCCTCCCCTCTAGTCGGCCTATCTAGATAATGAGTCATAAATCCTTCCTGGACACACCTGACAAAATCTGCTCCATCCAAAGTATTTGCACTTAGGAGGTTCCAGTCTATATTAGGGATGTTGAAATCACCCAGGACAACAACCCTATTACTTCTGCACCTTTCCAAAATCTGCCTCCCAGTCTGTTCCTTGGTGTCTCTGTTGCTATTGGGGGGCCTATAGAAAACTCCCAATAAAGTGGCTGCTCCTTTCCTGTTTCTGATTTCCACCCATGCTGACTCAGTGGACAAACCCTCCTCCACTCTCCCTTTCTGAAACTGTGATACCATCCCTGATTAGCAATGCCACTCCCCCACCTCTTTTACCACCCTCCCTATTTCTTTTGAAACATCTATACCCCGGAACATCCAACAACCATTCCTGCCCCTGTGTTATCCGAGTCTCTGTAATGGCCACAACATCGTAGTTCCAACTACTGATCCATGCTCTAAGTTGGTCACCCTTATTCCTGACACTTCTTGCATTGAAGTAGACACGCCTCAACCACTGCCACTTTGCCCTATCAACTGCTTATCCTTCCTCAGACTCTCTGCATGCTCTATCTGTCTGTACACTGGCTACCCCATCCTCTGATCTGTAGCTCTGGTTCCCATCCTCCTGACAAACTAGTTTAAACCCTCCTGAAGAGCTCTCGCAAACCTCCCACCCAGGATATTGGTGCCCTTCCAGTTCAGGTGCAACCTGCCCTTCCTTTACAGGTCCCACCTTCCCCAGAAGGTATCCCAATGATCCACATATCTGATGCTCTCCCTCCTACAGCAGCTCTGTCACCATGTGTTTAGCTGCACTCACTCTCTATTCTTAGCCTCACTAGCCCATGGCACCGGTAGTAATCTATTGGGTGAATTATTTCATCCAAGATGTTTGTGTTTTTTGCAGATACATTCTATTTTGTTCAAAAAAAATAAAACCAGCCTGACTCCAGATTAAAACACAGATTTTAAATAGGGGCGGCACGGTGGCTCAGTGGTTAGCACTGCTTCCCTCACAATGCCAGGGACCCAGGTTCAATTCCACCCTCGGGTGACTGTGTGTCTGTGTGGAGTTTACACATTCTCCCCGTGTCTGCATGGGTTTCCTCCCACAGTCCATAGATGTGCAGGTTAGGTGGATTGGCCATGTTAAATTGCCTGTGGTGTTCAGGGATGTCTAGCTTAGGTGGGTATAAGAGGATGGGTTTGGGTGGAATGCTTCAACGTTCAGTGTGGTCTTGTTGGGCCGAAGGGCCTGTTTCCACACTGTAGGGATTCTATGTAATACATTTAAAAAAAAAAATGCGTTGCCTGACCTGAGATGTCATCTCTTCTAAACATTGACAAAACCTTTAATTATCTCAGGGCAATGACTTGAAAGAAATCAATAAAGAAATTAATCAATAGAAACCTGCATCTCCTTTTGAACTGATTAAAAATTCAACAGGAGGCGGTCAGCGAGACATTTAAAGGGTTGTTACCTTTCTGTGTATAAATTCTGTGTCAGTATCCCTCCTCTTCCATACTACACCTGAGGAAGGAGCAGAGCTTAGAAAGCTAGTGATTTCAAATAAACCTGTTGGACTATAACCTGGTGTCGTATAATTTTTACCTTGTCTACCCCAGTCCAACAACAGCATCTCAACATCATGCCTTACCTTAAAACTATGCCCTACCCCCTTGTCATTGATCCCTCCAAGGGGAAACATTTCTTCCTCTCTACTTTATCTATACTCCCCATAATTTTACATATCTCAATCTCCCCTGCTGAGGGAAACACTTCCAGGCAACATCCTGGTCAGTCTCCCCCTGCACCCTCTCCAGTGCCATAACATC